GTTTCACGCGGTGGGTGCGAGGGAGGGTCGTGGGAGGGGGGTGAGGGGTGAGGCATGGGCGGGCTGCGCAGCAGCAGGTGTGAGGGAAGGCCGTGCCGGCGTGCCTGGCGCTGGCCTGAACGGGACAGGGGCTCCTTGAGGGGACCCCGCCACCCCGCACCCTGTGGCCGCTCTCCGCCGCAGGCCAGGCTGCAATAGAAAAAGGAAGGGAACCTTCAACTTGTGCCTGACAGCAGCCTTGTGCCGTGCATGGCTCTGCCCAGGGTGAGGGCCCCAGCGTGGGGCCTCCAGGCCATGACAAGTGGGCAGCCAGCCTTCCTGGTGCGGTTCCACTGCCCTGCGTTGGTCTGAGGGCCGCAGCTGCGTCTCGGGGCAATGCACAAAGATCCATGCGTTGATTGTATTTTACTAGCTCTGTGGTACTGCTGTGTTGGCGGTGGACATGAATACTGGTGGTGCTGTGCTTGGGTGAGGTGATGTCCTAAATTAATCCAAAGGCAGGAGATGCAGTGGTCCTTTTGCAGTGCTGAAAGCACAAAGAAACTTATAAATTGATGAGTCAAACTTTGAATAGCACTTCTTGGATATACTCATGAGCCTGGAAAGTACCTGCTGTGTCATGTAGGTGAAGTTTTAACAGAGTATCGATTCACCAGTGCTTATCTGTGATGTTCTTTACTAGCATGTACATTTGTAGTTAGCCTTTAGTACAGTTTTTCCTCTGTGTTATCACAAAGGGAGTTAAGAGTTGTAGACTGATCTTCAGATAAGAAGGGTTTGTTTCTGTAAAGTACTGTAATAAAGTAAAACTAACTACCCAGATTTCTGGGTAGATTAAGTAGCTTTTTTTTTCTGTGTCTGTGTTCACTTGCTTACTTGTAGTGAGTCTTTCTGACTTTTTAGTCCCAATCAGTCTGGCTTTTCAATAAAAAAAGTATCAAAACTGCTCTTATTATACAAACAGTAACAGATGGTCCCAGTTCTGTATGTGGTACAGGACACCATCAATATTTAGCTCCTATGGTGCCTGTAATCAGAAGGAAACAGTCATATATTGGTGTGTGTGTCTGAACTGGAGCTTATGATATGTTTCTGTGATTGTTAGCTCACTTGTTGAATCGTGTAAGTGAAGCGGGAGTTCTTTCTACTTTAGGCTTCAATAGCTCTTCGGCAGAAGAGCAATAATGCTTCTGTTGCTCATAAGGGTGTCTTTAGCTCATACCCTGCTGGCCTAGAGGTATCCAGAAAATGGGGCAAGGAGGCTCATTATAGAGCTCTGTCTGTGTGAATAGGTAGAAATAGCGTTGATTCAAATAGTTGTGCAGTGATGGGTATAAGAAGGCTGAGGGACACCTGTGGGTACATGTAAGAATCTTAATATTTAAAATATTAGCTCTAATATCAAGGGCTTCTGTTAGTTTTTTTTGAGGTCTAATATGTTTTACTGTCAGGCAGCTCAATGTGACATTATTCTGAAACTGGAGCAGGTTGCCAAAGCAGGAGACAAGTGGTCAGTGGTAATGAACAAATGTAACAGAACTCTTTCCACCTTTTCTGGTGAAGTAGGTATCTTCAACTACAGTATTGTTTCACAATAAGTTAAAAACTACGGCTTAGGATTTAAGTTAGTCTAAAACTGCTCTTTGCTCTGTTTTTGGAAGAAAGAGCTACTTTAAAAGGGGAAGTCCAGTATTTTATATTCAGCGGAAACTGTTTTAAGAAGCTGCCTCTGAGAGGTAGTTCCTTTGTACATAGGGACTAATTTGTCAAAAATACTGGCTGCATTGCCTTTATATTAAATAGCTATACTTAGAAACTCCTTTTCTTGTTGTTCTAAGTCATGTTTCATTTTACATCTGCACCTTGTTCTGTGAAAAGCAGAGAAGATGTATAATTTGTTATAGTCTCCTGAAAAACTATGCGCATTGAAAAGTTGAGGGGTTTATTATTGCAGTGATTTGTTACTGAAATGGTTAAACCTTGTTCCAAATCACAGCATATTCCTTTTATTACAATTCTTAATGTAAAGAGTGAAGTGAGAAGATGGGGTTTCTTTGTCAGAAAACCAGACACGCTACAAAGATTCTGTTTTTTTTTGTTTTCCCTTCCTTTCATTTCTGTTATTACAAGTCAGTGTAGCAAGACGAGTGTGGCTGTCTTGTTAGAGGCAAGCCCATGCTAATTTAAATGATCATCTGATTAGTTCCAGGGAATCAAAGAGGATCAGTTACATTCTGGCTAAAATATTCTGCTGCTTACTAAACTTAAAAGTTGTCTGCTCTCTTTCAATTGTAGGATTGGGATATATATATATATTTCAGTATTCCAAGGATATTCAATTTTCATATTAAAATAACAATTTACAGATACTAAGTACCAAATAACCTGTAAAATGTTTTGCAAAACACAGAGTGAGATGTGGTTCATGCTGTAGAGCATTTTAGGTTCACTGTGGGCAGTGCTGAAGAGACCACTCTGTAGTTAAGAAGGGACTATTGTTGTCTTCTCTGTAAAGGAAAAAGGTGTTTATTGGATTGGTAGAATTTAAAAAGGGATTGGAATGGCTGTACCAAACTGCTTCAGACAGATTGCACGGAAAGCAGCTAGTGACACTCTGTTGAAAGACAGTTTTGTGGTATTAATGGGAGCAGAAAAAAGCACTCTTTAGTGAAGAGTAGGTCAGGAGATAGTGACATGGGGGAGGAGGATCAGAAGAAGGGGAAGCGAGAAGTGTCATGGTTGAATTAGCTATCAACACGGAAACTGAAACTGCTTATGACGGAGAGTAGTGGACTGAGGAGAGAGGAACACAACCAGAGGAGATGCTGTGGCTGGTGACTGCATGTGCACAGAGATTTTTTTAAACTTTTCCTATTCAGGGTTGTGGTTAAGGGGGGTGTTTGGGAACTGTGGGGCAGCAGCGCCTGCTACTTGTGTGAAAACAATACGCTTCCTTCTTTGTGCATGGATGAAAGAGCAGGTTCCAGGGCATCCTGTTTGCAAATAATATTGCAGAGGAGTGTTTGGGCTTGTAATTAGCTTTTGATGCAGTGATGTGCGGGAGACCAAAGCACAGAAACTCATGAGAGCTGCTGCACACGCATTTCTCTTTTGCCTGTTTTATGCCAAGATGTGTCCCAAAGCGTGCATACAAATACCTGCCACGTGACATGTGAGTAAGGAGAAGTAGACTGTGTAGGAGAAACAGCCGTGAAGTTTCAAAAGGGCATAAACTGAGTCGTCTTAAACAAAGCCAGCGTTTGTTTCAGTATTTGTATTTAGTCATATTTTCCCCTCATTTTCTTTAAATCTCTGAGGAGGACCGTTAGCCGGTTTGAATTTTCATATAGCTCTCACATAGGTTTAAATTCTTACATAATGCAAGAGTTCACACAAGCTGGTGTCGTTATTTCATGTGTTATCTTGTCACTGGATTGGTAGGCTTCCATCATCAGCACTTCCTCGCTCCCGATGTAGTATCAGGAAGATGGTAGCTCTGGCCGAAGTGCCCGTGATGCTTCTCAGACTTCAGAGGTCTCTTCAGGCAGCAAGCTCATGCTTCATTAGTAATACAGGGCAAAGAAGAACAACAAATTTGCCGCTGTTCACCATGGAAACAGTATTTTGATTATCTGAAAATGGCATTGGGAATATAAAAAAAATCATGACACTAAACTGGGAGGAGTGGCTGATATGCCAGAAGGCTGTGCTGCCATCCAGCGAGACCTGGATAGGCTGGAGAGTTGGGCAGGGAGTAACTTGATGAAATATAACAAGGGAAAGTGTAGAGTCCTGCATCTGGGCAGGAACAACCCCAGGTTCCAGTATAGGTTGGGGAACGACCTGTTAGAGAGCAGTGTAGGGGAGAGGGACCTGGGGGTACTAGTGGACAACAGGATGACCATGAGCCAACACTGTGCCCTTGTGGCTAAGAAGGCCAATGGCATCCTGGGGTGTATTAGAAGGGCGGTGGTTAGTAGGTCGAGAGAGGTCCTCCTTCCCCTCTACTCTGCCCTGGTGAGACCCCATCTGGAGTATTGTGTCCAGTTCTGGGCCCCTCAGTTCAAGAAGGACAGGGAGCTGCTGGAGAGAGTCCAGCGCAGGGCAACAAAGATGATTAAGGGAGTGGAACATCTCCCTTATGAGGAAAGACTGAGGGAGCTGGGTCTCTATAGTTTGGAGAAGAGGAGACTGAGGGGTGACCTTATCAGTGTCTATAAATATATAAAGGGGGAGTGTCACGAGGACGGAGCCAGGCTCTACTCAGTGGCAAACAATGATAGGACGAGGGGTAATGGGTACAAACTGGAACACAAGAGGTTCCACTTAAACTTGAGAAGAAACTTCTTCTCAGTGAGGGTGACGGAACACTGGAACAGGCTGCCCAGGGAGGTTGTGGAGTCTCCTTCCCTGGAGACATTCAAAACCTGCCTGGACGCATTCCTGTGTAACATTATCTAGGTGTTCCTGCTCCGGCAGGGGGATTGGACTAGATGATCTTTCGAGGTCCCTTCCAATCTCTAACATACTGTGATACTGTGATGAGAGTAGAGAAAGATTTTTTTAGTATGAATCAGATCTGTTGCAGATATTTCTCGTGTTGACATGTAGGTTGTCAATATTTAGGACAAAATGAATTTCCAGATATTTCTTACAGTAATGGAAACTAAATTATGCTTAGTTTCAAGAATTTAAAAGTTCACTTCCGGCTCACAGAGAACTTGTGAGTTTTTTATGGATCATAATTTTACAAACAACCTAAAGCAATAAAGAAATTCCTATAAGAATGGTGATATCTCATAAAAGTTACTTCTGTCTCTGTGTCAGAGAGTATCTCCATGAGCAAAGACCTCTCACTATATAAATTAATAAAAGCAGATTTGATGCTTGAAAGAAGTTTGCTAGGGTTAAAGTGCACATTTTTGATGTCTTAGGAGACTCTTTGTTTGTAATAAATTTTGCTGCATTGTGTCTACCAAAGCATCACTGGTACCTCCCTCTGTGAAGACTGTTCATACTTTCAGGATAAAATGGCAAAGATGCTGTTAATGTAAGTCATGCGTCTACTGTTTTAAATACTGAATTTTCTCTGTTTTCTTTCTTTTTTTTAGACACTGAAAACCCATAAAAGTTTGACTAAAAAATATAAAAATGCCCAGAAAAAGTATAGACTATGGAGGTCTTCCAGAGTATGAGAAAAGCCAGATCAAAAGGACCTTGGAGTTGGGAACTGTTATGACAGTATTCAGTCTTAAGAAGAGTAGTCCAGAAAGGAGGACTATTCAGGTCATAATGGAAACCAGGCAGGTGGCATGGAGCAAAACAGCTGACAAGATTGAAGGTTTCTGTGAGTATTTGCCAAGTGTACCTGAACTTGGGGTTACTAATAGATTGCTATAATTGTCAAGTGTTGATTTAATGATTCTTTGTTAACAACATGAAGTTTTTGTCTGAAAGGAGTTTGATAATTTGCTGAGAATATTCTGAGTCATTGCAATGTAGATGAAGAATCTTCTGCAACTTGTTATTTAGGTATTTAACGCTACTTAAATATGATTAATGTGCTTTTGCCCTAAGCCCTGATCTTAAAGTCTTCATCTTTAAATATGATGGTGCTTGTGTTATCTGAATTGAGTTACTGAGTGACAGCTCTTTTCCATCACTAAGCATCAAGATGTCCTGTAAATTCAAACACGCAGTACTTCTTTACGCTCTCTCAAAAAAAAACCTTTCCAAATTCAAGGAAACTGAAGTGAAATTTCTGTTTTTGCTGTTTCAGTATAGAAATCATTATTTATGACCAGTATTGGAAAGTACCAATGACTTAAAAGGATGAAGCTGTGGGTTATAAGGCATAGTTTCAGGGTCCTGAGTTGATACTGTCTCTTTAGTATCTAAAGTGATTGACTAAACCCATTATTTATAACAGATTTGGGAAATGGAAGTGTAAAGATACATCGGACTGCAAAAGCTATGGTAGAAGAATAAACTGAGACTCATCTTCTGTTTTTACTGAACATGGCTGATGTCAACCAAGCTCAGCCTGTGCTTTCTGGTATTTGTACAGCTCCTGTTATTATAATATAATCACAGTGCTTTCATACGACTTCTTTTATTTATTTAGCTCTTATCATGGGCATGATTTTACTATGCAACTGCTGAATGGTGTTTATCTTCAATAACAGAATTGAACTGTTTGTCTGAATTGCAGAAACATTTATTGGCCAGCCAGCTAATATGAGAAACATAGAGTTTAGGAACTGGGGCTATTTGGGAAAAGAAATTGTGATAAGACGTTGGAGTTTGGAGTTGGAGAGCTGGGAAGGCTGAGCAGGTAGGTATACTGAAGTGCAAGAACCTGCAGAGGTGAGAATCAAAGTTACTCAGCAGACAAGGTTTTCAGTGAGGAACAAGTTAATCAAGGCCCAAGAGAAGAAAAATGGTTTATGAACACAGGAGTCTGAGGCATAGTTAAGGGAGGGGGTGCAAGACATGCACCAAGAAGCTGCATGATTTTTGAATTGTGTAGCTTGCCTTCATGCTCCTTACTTAGAAGTACTAAGTCTCTGCTACTGTTTTGATTGGTTCCTGTCTCATTCCTTGTGAAACTAGAAATACAATGTAGTGGAATGAAAGCCCAGTTGTCTGGAGGATGTTTTAATTATTGGTAGTGAAAATATGGTCATACAGAGTGTTATGGGGAAAAGCAAGCAGGTCTGGACACTGTAATTAACAAGTACTCTGGATCATAATCTTTCAGTGTCCCAGTTTCTCATGTGGAAAATGAGGGTAATTATCGCTTCCTGTAAAGACCTGTTAGAATGTGAGTACATTATTGGTTCTGATATGCTCAAATCCCAAAGTGAGGTGTGCCAAAAAAGAAGTCCTGAGAGAAGATAACAATTCAGTTATGAGAGAATTGCTTGAATATGCTCACCAAATAAAGCCTGAGGTTATGCATACAGCAATAAGATTAAAACAAAATAGAAAATGACCACTTAGTGGGTGAACAAGGCATTAGAGTCCTCTGATAGAAAGAGTTTGTGATCATGTATTTGAAGGCTTAGCATAGCCATTTGCACAGAAGGGCTGAATTAAACATTGTACAGACTGTGCATTCTGGATTTTGGGGTCAACTTTTCACTGTTTGACTTGTAATCTTCTATCAAAGCTTCCTGGGGGTGTTGTGTGTTTGTGGTAGTACATGCTGATAATTAGCTTGCTGTATGTATAGGTTTTAACCTTTTTAAAAGAAGATGAATATTGTACTTCGACTCTTACACCTGGATAATGCACCAGGGTAATGACTCACTTCCAGTTGCACAAGCAGTCATTACTAGAACGGGGAATATAGCTACAGACCTGTGACTTATCCAAAAGCCGTGTGCCTCTCTCCCTGAGAATTGTAGTACTGAAGCAGTTCTTTAGCTGATCAACATTTAAGTGACCTTTATAATGGTAGAATTTTCAGATCTGAGAATATGCCCTACTCTAAAACATGAATATGTAAAATACTGTTTTGTTGTCTAAAAAGCAATTAATCTGCCCAAAACCAAGCTGTGTTTTGCAGGCATTGTTTCAGAGTATAATATGAACAGTTGTTACAATTTACCATGAATGGTATCTGATCTGCTTGAAATGAAAGTCACTGCAGTTTTAACTTGCTGACAGTGTTTTTACTGAAGAGGAAGGAAATATGGAAATATTTATTTATTATTTAAATGCTGCTATTTCTTCTTTTAACTGGAACTCAGGCTTTCTTTTGCTTGAAAAGTGGAAAAATTATGGATTTGAAGCTTTCATATTTGGTAACTGAATGGCTGAATTTGAATACCAATGATGGGGAATTAAACTTTTATTTCTCTAGAGCTATACTGAGGACATGGTACCACCTTTGTGGTAGAGAAAGAATATTTTGACTTGTATATATAAATGTAGATATGACCGACTCCAAGTATTCAGTGGCAGATTTTGTTGACTTTGTAAAAAGTAAAAAATAAATATTTTTTAGTGGCTGAGGGCACAGAATTATCATCTCCAGTATTATATTGCTTAATATGCTTGTGCTGTACAAGAAATAGTATTTGTGATGCAATCTTAATGGTTGTCCTACACTCCAGCAAGAATTAAAATTCAGTATGAGTGGGAAAGGCAAGATGGCTTCCTGTTGAGTGTGTGCTATTTTAACTCAAGCAACTGCTCTTTACAGAAGGCAAAACCCCAAATGTTTGCATCTGTTGTGGGGTTTGTGTGTCTAAATCAGATAGTGAGGACAGTTCACTTTGAGACACACAAATAGGCTGTTAATAGATAGAGAAGATGGAGACTGACTTCTATATTTTATTTTAATGCTTGTCCTTTAGAAATTAAGAAAAAGTTTTGTGTGTTGGGAATTTTGGATGTCTTAGTGCATGTTTTCTTGCTGGTAAACTGTGAATGTCTGAAAGACACTAAAATCCTCTAATCTAGAGTTGCTCATAATTATTACAAGGTCCTTTTTCAAGTTTGGTTAATGTTATTTTGGAAGTGATTTAAGTTAAACCTCACAATAACAAAAAGGTATCTACTCTTAATTCTGGAACCCATGCAAAGGAGATACAGGATTAGGTATACTGATCTAAATGTTTAGACAACTCCATGGCCATAAATGTGGCAGTACTGTGTATTTGAAATTGCATTACTCTTGAAAGGGTCTTTTTCATTAAAATCCTGTCAGCAGTTCTGTTTAGAGTGGAAGAGTTGCTAAAGTTATGGCTGTTTCCTGCTCAGTGCAGGTGTTTTTCTCTGGATTAGTACATAAAATGGAGATCATCTGGATGAGAAAGTAAAATGGAGCCACCTTTCTTTAGATAACTCTTTCTAAACCCATCCCTTCCGTGTGGGAAGACGTAAGGATATACAAAGGCTAGGAAATCTGGTTTAAACAGTCTCTGTCTTCATTGTATGACCACACCATGACTAAGTATTGGAGATTTTACATTGACCTTCTGAAAGACTTGAGTTGCCATTTACAAAAGGAATTTTCTAACAAAAACGATCTGGGGAGAAACCTCTGTGTTTTCCTTAAATGAAAGAGGACAGGTTATTTGTGTCCTTTAGGGCAGGATGGCCTAAGATCAGAAGGCCAAATTTTAAGCTGATACGTACCAAGTAAATCCTCTCACTGTAATAGAGCAGCTGAATTTTTGGCCATGTTTTTAACTTGGCAAGTTACTGTGGTACTGAGAATGGTGCTGTATGATTTTTTTAATTCTTCAAATACAAGAGTTTATTTCAGCTTTTGGTAAGTTTTAGCTTTACAAATCGGAGACATGACATTACGTACCAGCTCTTCTAGTGGTAGTCCTCCCTGCCCGCCTGCGGGAGGGGAAGCACCAGCACAACAGTATCTGCTCACACCCTTCCTGAGTTGTCCTAACGGTGTTGATAACCTGTGCATGAGAAGTTTTCCTTTACTGTAGAGCTGTGCAGCCAAGAGTTGTGCAAGTCAAGTGAATTCTTGGATGGTGGGGCAATGTTTGTGAGATCAAGCTAGCTATTGAGCTTGTCCAAGCTAATCAGACTTGCTGGAGACAGTAGATTCTGCTCTCTGTAAGGGAACTCTGATCCTCTTGTACAGTGTGCATTTCTGCCGTTTACTGTGATTCTGCTGTTGTAAAATGTGATGCTTTGTAGGCCCAAACAAAGATTAAGTTAAGTGACTATTGGTCATCTCTCCTTGCTTTTTAGCCTGTAAACTTAGGAGGCACTACAAAACTAAGCACCTTTCAAGAAAAGTTAAATAAAATTTGTCCATGTTTTCTATCTGTTGGAGCTTCAAGTTTCCTTCTAGATGAAAGGAGAAAGATTAGCAATGGAAAAAGAGGGGCTGCCTGTCCTGAAATGTTTTTCAGGTTTAGTGGAGGCCAGAGAAGTTTTTAGTACTGCTGCTCTTTGGTCATCTGCTAAAACTGCACAGTACCTTGCATACACCTTTCCTGTGTCAGATGGATCCAACACAATCCATTGTCAAAACCAAAATGCATAGAAGGGAGCAGTGATCCTTTGAGAATGTTTTTATCATGGATGTTTGGTATGCAGGATTTCATTAGTGTATTAAAATGAATGCCAGCAACGTGCTTCCTTATGTGGGCCCGCAGAGAGCTATGCGAATGGCTGAAGGAAGCAGGTCTGAGCTAGATGTGACTGTGTTCACCTGTGCTTGGGCTTCTTTTAGTCATCTTGCTATTGTTCTGTACATAGAGACATTTAGCTCCGACATAGTCTGAGGGAAGTATTTGTAGACACTGGCTACAAAATGTCAGAGTTTTTTCTTCTGCCTCTTACTTATTAATAACATTTCCTTGT